CAGCTCGTCAAATGCATCTTATCAAGTATGACCAAACACAATGCATGCGGCTGCTAGAAGGCCTACGGCCGAGGATCAACTTAGCCAAGGTAGGCTCACTCACTTGACTTGTACATGCTTCCTTCCATCCACAAAATGGGCTTTTGAAAATGCCATTCTTTCGTGCTCTCACTACCTCGCCAATGTGGTATAGCTTTCATCCGCCCCCCAGTTGGGCATATGCTAGTCTAAGAACCGAACTCCCTCCCTAGGCATTGTGATCGGGTTTGGGTCAGGAGTACAGGTTCACTTCCCCCGTTGGATAAAGGTCTCTGTAGAGTTCTTTTCTGTGAGTGGATACGGGGCAGTGCAAACGTCCAGCCATGACTGGGACTTTCGGCTCAACCACTTATTTTGCTTGGTGGAGGTGCAAAAGTGCCGTATCACAAGGAAGCATGACTGCGCTGAGAAGTTTTTTGTGCTAAATTTATTTTGAAGCATTGGAATCCTAACAGACTGAAGTTTGATAGATGCTTTCAAATTTTTCATTCTTCGCTTGCCGTGCTACCCTTTCAAACCAATTTCCGGACTTTTTTCAATTTCATACAACCATATTTAGTTAGGAATGCATTTATCACTTTGAGATACCGAAACGGAAGTCACTGGCGTTTTTTTTCTCCTGTAATCTTGATAATTAGTCCGTGAGTCTAAAATTTTGAGGCGGGATGCCAGTGTTTTGAGATAGGCGAATTTTGCATCTTAAATCGCTGCTAGATACTGGTTGGTCAAAAACAAGAAGCAACTTCTGTATTATTGTTGCCTTGCTATCATTCTCGTACATGGTTCTGGCCAAGTTTTTAGCACCGCCCACCCGCATCACAACGTTTTCAAAGGGAGTGGAAAAAAACCGGAAAACGGGAGTGTGGATCTCATGGCGATTTATCCGTTTGTACCAAGAGGGTTTCCAGATCCCAGGACGGTAGCCCATCTCAGTAATCTCGATGAGGCCCACTTGTTTAGTTGTTGACAAACTGGATGTCGTTATGGAGCTAACGCATTTCATTTGCCAATCGCATACGGTTGGAATGTTTGCCTGAAAATTAAATGTACACTATAAAGTAGAGATATCTACCACTTTCTCGGATCTTCTTTCTGAGAACATCCCCTTTTTCCACTTTCCTGCCATTTAACTTCCATCTAGTTATCTACCGGGACTACTCCCAGCCTTTTCAGCGTAAGTAGGCGCTAAGATTTCAGAGACTACTCATTAATCACTTTGTAGGACGACTTTAACTCGTTCAATGGATGCTTCGCTCTCTTGCTGTTCATAAGACAGGACTTAATGTACTTTTTTGCTCCTGGTTTTAGGTGTTCGTGTACTAAGCCATCCTCAGTTGATATCCCTCGTCTAAACCGATTCGTTAAGCCCTAAGCCTGCTTCAAATTTTTAGTAAAAATGAGTATATTCTTCCCAGGGACATACTTAACCAATGTAAGGTAGAACTTATCCCCACAGTCATTGGAAGGGAAGGAAATCTAAAAATAATTTTACCGTGAACACACAAATTAATTTGGAGACTATTGGAGGCCGTATTGCAGTAGGGTGAAAGAACCAAGGTAATTATTTTGTATTCTAAGTAAATATTCTTTTATAATCCGCATGTTAAAAGCGGTGATAAAAGGATTGTTCAGCTTGATACTTAACCAAGTCCGACTTAACGTTTTCCTGTGGCGCTTTCACTCATTTCTACTGACTACCGAATTAATCGTGGCCCCTTCCGGGTGGTTCTACAAGCCGACACGAAAAATGAGCTTAGGGCAGAGCTTCCCTTCCTTCTCCATATTAATCATTTCGGTTGTACAAATGAGTCACTAGTCTCTCTTTCAGAATTTATTAGGCAAAAAAATTCATTTTCCTGGCCCTCCCTTCCTCCCCCCCCCCCCTTCCCCGATACAATCACACCAAAACTTCAGCTGTATTCGCGTAAATTTTACCTCGAAATACCAAGACGAATTTGTGAAATGGAGGAAGTGACTAATCGGCCGCTGTAGAAGCGTTCACCAAACCCTTGACATATCTCCAACACACCCCTCGTAAACTGTCACTGCGTGATATAAGGGGGGAAGGAAAAACAATTGTCCAAGATTATTCCAACCGAAACAGCAGGGGCGAGCGTTGGAAGGATCTATCTTCGTTTATATTGGTTATTGAAGTGACGTACTTGTTGGTGTCTTGGTTTCAGATCTGGCACGCCTACTTTGCATTCCATCGCTACGTTGTGGCGACCCTATTAAATGAGGCAGAAGTGAAGACGCGCAACCAACAGCAACAAGGAATTGAAAACATTCGAAACCCCTTTTCAGTTCTGCCTTTGCACAAGTCTACAGAGCACCAGATGTAAGTCCCTTGTTTGGTATTGCGTTGATGTTGCCTCTGGCCCTATTTTCTAGGTGTAATAACCTCTTCAGATGAGATAATGGTAATGTCGTGGTCTCCTCCACTGAAAAGGTTATCAAAGTTTAGCGGAGATAAAAATAACGGGAATCCTCTTAACAATAGGATTCGATTTGGATTCGTGAAAAACTTTGGAACTGTAAAATGATCTCATAGACCTGACTAAGCAATGGCCAACACCAGGTCTCGAAGTGATCCTTTTACAAAATTGCAGAATTTTTATAAGTTGGGACCTCTTTTTGCAGTCCTCAACGCCGCTTGTGGTTACTTCTTTTTCGGCTGTTTGAACAGTAATTGTGGCAGAAAGGAAGACCACGCTATGGTTCTCTATTACAGCGAACCTAGCAACACTGATACATCGAGTAGATTTCGATGGCACACCACCTGCTAGTAAACTGCTCTGAAGGTATTCGAAAAGCATTATTACCGGGTAGTGTTCTTCAGAGGTCATTCCTCTTATCCTTTAGACCATTTCGTGGTAAGTTTGTCTGAAGGCAAAACGATGTTTAATGAAATATGTAGGGTGGAACAATTCCTTTGGGTCTTACCCTAGTTTAATTGTCACTTCGTCTACTTTTGTGTTAATAAACTCAGATGTCTAACTCTGCAATGAATACGAGCAAAGCCTGTTTGGGTTTTAGGCTAACCACTTCGTCAGGTGGGGACATCCCAAGCCAGTGCCCTCCGGCTCCCAAGGTGATTGACAGCAAAGGCTCATTTTCCTGTAGGTTCATCTTCTAGTCTGTGTTATGCATTCCTATATGAATATATCCATCTTTAACACAGCTTCAATTTAAGTACCTTACTCACCCTCAAAGAGAAGCTCATCTGTCAGAGCGGTACTTCCAACTCAAACTTCTCACCAGCCAACAACATCGTTGGCTGGTATTTTGATCTATCCATCCTCGAATGTACCTTTTATTTAGAAAAAAAAGATGACAAGAGAACCTCGCCTATAGAGACGTGCGCTTGAAGTGGCAATTATAAAAAAATGAAAAATCTGGTGATCCTGGAAGTGGGCCATTTCATGATTGACGGCCGTTTTGTCCGTAATTTCATTTTAGCGTTAATGCTTTTAACGCATTAATTCAGCCCCTCTTGGTTGACATTCTCTTACTAATGTGTCCATAATCCCGAGTAAACCTCAGCACCCAATAAACAATCTGCTTTTGCGTTTTTTTTCGTACGGCTGTTCCTTCGCGCCTTTTACCCTTGTTGGCACGTCACTGAAAGGGGACTTGTTTTGGCTATGGCTCACACCATCGACATGTTGCAACC